TTCCAACATATATCTTAGTTATATTTATACATAAGGACATCCAATAAGATATTAACAAAAATTTATCAACTCTAAGTAGTCGGAAAATGACTTGAAAATGGTTTGATCATCTTAGAAAATACCCTTCTAGAGTAGGATGTTACTTTAAGGTTAATCATACAATGATCTATATAGCTCCATAGTAAGGAGAGATATCAGTTGTTAGCTCCTCTATTCGTATACACTTTGACGAGTTATAATCATGGGAGTTTCATTGTTAGTTATCTAATTAAATAAGATTATACATGTGAAATGGTTTACCTCTATTAGATGGTTAGACCAAATAATATCCTACCTTCATAATATAAACCATTAATTCTCCCTTTTGCAAACTTAATCGTCCATTATTCTTGTACAAATTTGTTAGGAAGGTGAGAGAGAGGTAGAGTGTTAATACAAGTGAGAATAATGGGTATTACCTATTAGATAGATAATATTATAATTAATAGAATTTACAAACGTTTCTAGCTTAATCATAAAACTTTATGCTGGCTATAATATTATTAGCATATATATAATGAAGTTCTAACGAAGGTTATATCTAAGATACCCTTTTTGATAGCCTACCGGTCATGCTTAAGCAAGGAATAGATAGAGTAAAAGATTGGCCCACAATAATAATACTCGTTATTGTTATTAATTATTGGCTATTAAAGAGGCCATGTTTTGGTGATATTAATAATATAGTATTGAACTATATGTATTTGATTATTATAATGCTATTGATGGAGGCAAATAAGTTCCTCGGTTATTCAATATGTCCCAAACTTTTAATTTAAAGGAAGAGAGGATGGGTAAACTTATGAAGTTCTATATGAAATCACAATTATTCCCTCTCTTATTATATGAACAGAGGGAAAATTATTTGGTAGATTAATGGTCTCGTCGGAAGGTATATTATTCTCCCCTCACTATTACCTCCAATTAGGAAGGATGATTATGCATGTTGATTATGTGAATATACTTATGACCACCCTCTCTCTAAAGGTTCATCTCTAATCTTTGAGTAAGGTAACATATTGTCTATTCAAATGGCCAAAAGATTTTGATATTTTGCACTAATAAGTTCAATTCTACCATTCCAAACTTAAAGATTCTTCCGAAGTGTCCCTTAACTTCTTGAGAACTATCACTGCATGAGAGATAGAAAATAATCAAAGGATGATTATTCATGTTGATTATGTGAATATACTTATGACCACCCTCTCTCTAGAGATTCATCTCTAATCTTTGAGTAAGGTAACATATTGTCCATTCAAATGGCCTATTGGATATCAAGAATTCTACCATGTTAACAAGAGGTTATGGAGATAACTTTCCCTCCCTATATATGAATAATGTAATAAGTCTTTTAAACGTGAAAGGAGGTCTAACCCATATCAAATATTCCTATACGAAGGAATATAATTGAGAACTAAATTATTAACGAAAAAAATTATAAATTTAGTCCCTCCGGTAGGTAAATGGCCATTCAATTAATTCACTAAGGATTATTATAAATAAATAATTTAAATATGGGTATTTATTTTAATACCTGGACTTTATAAGTTAGAGAGAAGGAGTGATTCCTTGATGTTTTATAATACAATATGACCAAGCTTGGTGTATTAACTATTTAAGGCTTGGGTAATCATTTAGATCTCAAAGTAGGGAGAGAGAGGAGGTAAAAGATATTGAACTACATTTAGTGGTTAACTTATCATACATATAATAAAGGGCACTCCATATCACCATTATGGAGTGTTCAATAGGTGGAACAATTTATTTTCTTAATAGCCTTCGGATAGCCTATTAGTCTTAATCAGTTTAGAATATTATAATGGATAACTCTATTGTATGAGAATAGCCTAGGGAAATAGATCTAAAATCCTAAAGGTCCCTATCTAATAAGAGGACTATAGAAGATATCAATTTCCAACCATACTATGTCACTCATTGTTGAAATTTAGGTAGAAGCGTAAGAAGGATGGAGAGAAGCAAAAACGAGAGATTGAGAGAGAGAAATGAAGGAGGGAAACCGATGTTAAAAATCCTTCAAATTTTTATTAGAAAAATATCTTGTTACATTGACAATTATACCCACACTAACTACCTATAATAACAACCTAACTAACCATAACAAACACTTAACAAACTCAACAAAACTAACAAAGGCTTAATAACCTTTCTCGCCAATTTTAACAAACCATGAATATAAGATTAGCCTTACATTCTAATACTCCCCCTCAAGATAAGTATGAATGTTCTTTAGAATTAGTTTGCCAAGCAAAGAATGAAAGGGACCAGGCTATAAAGCTTTAGGAAATACATCAGCAAGTTGAGCCACCATAGACACATGATGAGGTTGTATAATACCAACGATCAATTTTCTCCCGTAAGAAGTGGCAATCCACTTCAATATGCTTTGTCCTCTCATGATAAACAGTATTCTTGCTCAAATGAAAGCTAGACTAGTTATCATAAAGAAGTAAGATAGGTTTATCATGAAGGATACCAAAATCCTATAACAAAAACAAAAGCCATAAAATTTCACAAGTTGTAACTACCATGACCCTAGACTCGGTTTCGGCTCTACTCCTAGCAACAAGGGACTCGTTTCTTGGATTGCCAACTGATAAGAGATTGACCTAGGAAGATACAAGAACTAGAAATGGACCTCTTGGTGTCCGGTCGCCTAGCCCAATCACCGTCCGAGAAGGCTCTTAAGTGAAGATAAGAGAGAGTAGAGAAGAAGATGCCCCGCCATAGTGCTCCTTTTAGGTATCAAAGAATACGATGGGCGGATTGCAAATGGAGCATAGTTGGGGTTTGCATGAATTGAGCAAGAGAATTAACAACAAAACATATATTAGGTTTGCTAAAAGTGAGATGAAGTAGTCGACCAACCAATTGACGATAAACCGTAGGATCGGATAAGGTATCCTCTATAGTAGTCACTAAGCGATGCTTAGGATGCATTAGAGTCAAAATAGGCTTAAAATTAAGAAATCCATACTCTACTAGTAACTCCATAGTGTATTTGTGTTGACAAATAGCAATGCCAATTGCGGATCGAGCCACTTCAATACCAAGGAAGTACTTAAGTGGACCAAAATCCTTGAATTTAAACTTGCTACCAAGGAACACCTTGAAATCCTAAATCATAACTTCTACATTACTAGCAAGAACAATATCATCCACATATACAAGTAAGGTAATAAAGGAATTAGAATTAGTAGTCATAGTGAAAAGGGAATAATCAAACTTAGATTGATGAAAACCATATTCGAGTAAGTGCCGCTGTGAAGTTGGCATTCCACTCGCCTATAAGCTTGTTTCAATCCATACAAGGATTTATGCAACCTCGCAAGCCAACTTCAGACTATCTTTAGTCTCCCCCTTAATCCTATAACCAGGAGGTAGATCTATATAGACTATTTCAATAAGATACCCATACAGGAAGGCATTATTAATGTCAAGTTAAGAGAGAAACCAACCTTTGATTGTCTGCTAAGCCTAGAAATAATCTCATTTTTGTGTGCTTAGCAACTCGGACTAAAAGTTTCTTGATAATCAAATCCCTTAACTTGACTATAACCTTTGGTAACAAGCTTTGCCTTATACCTCTCAATACTACCATTAACTCAAAACTTTACCTTATAAACCCATTTACACCCCACTCGTGTGAAAATCTACCGGTAATGGTACCACAAACCAAGTATTGTTCTCCTCTAAAGCTTGTAACTCAGCCTATATAGCCTCTTTCCAATGCTTAGACTTCACGACTTGTGTGTATGATTTTGGCTTAGAAGTATTGGTTAAAGAAATTGTAAATGTAATATGAGAAGGAGAAAGCTGAGAAAATGAAACAAAATGATGAATGGGGTGAGGAGTCAATGTACTACAATATTTGAGGAAATAGTGGTAAAAGGTTTGAGTGAGTGTTGATAGATGTCTAGATAAGAAGAAAGTCTACTTGGACCTAGTAGATTTTCACAAAGGAGGACTAGTGGAATTGGAATTGGAATTGGAATCAATAGCAAGACAATTAGTGATGGCTAGAACATTCATACTATTAGTGTGTATACCACTAGAAAAATTTGGTGTGTGAGAGGATACTATAACATCGGACGAAGAAACCTAAAGTCAAGTCATACCGCCGGAAGATGGGATAATAGAATATGAAAGTTGTATACCGGTGAAATAAAAAAAATGGATATATCTCGCGAATGGCGGATGGGAGATGAAGGCATAGAAGTAGAACCATTCATGGCATAAGGAAAGATATCTTCATGGAAAACAACATTCCTAGAAATGAGTACCTTATAAGAGATAAAGTCATAGACCTTATAACCTTTAGTACTAGGAGGGTAGCCAAGGAAAACACAAGGTGAGGCCTTGGGTTAAAATTTCTTCCTATTGTGGACAAGTGTTAAGATTAAACATAGAGACCCAAATATTCTCAAATGATCATATGTTGGAGGGGATTGAAATAACGACTCATGAGGAGTGTGATTATCTAACACAAGTGAAGGAGTTCTATTGATCAAATAAGCGAGCAGTGAGGATTGCATCCCCCTAGAACTTAATAGGTAAGGAAGCTTGGAAGAGAAGTGATCAAGCTAAATTTAATAGATGTTGGTGTTTTCTCTCAACCACCCTATTTTGTTGAGAGTTTCAACGCATGACAACCGATGGATGATACCCTTGCATCAATAAAAACCCGAAAGATGGAATTCACCCTTATTATCGGATCCGACTTATGTATGAGGAGAAAAATCGAGTGACTCTAGTGTAGTCATCTACCATAGTTAAAAAATAATGAAAACCTCCAAGAGATATAATAGACTAGGTTCCTCAAACATCCATATGAATAAGCTCAAAAGGAATGGAAGTAACTTTCTTAAGAATGGAAAATGGTAAACGCCAAAGGACACATAAAAGAAGTTTGATTATTACACTTGATATTTGGATTTTTGTAACTAAGTAATTGAGTCCGGTGACTCTTGAGTGAAAGCAATGTTTGGTAGTGTAACACACCCAGTTGGGATAACATTGTCACCGGAGGTATCCTTAGCAAACATAAAACCTCCTTGTTCCGATACAACATTGTTGATACACTTAGAAGAACTACTATTATTATGAACAAAGATGAACTTGGAAGTATGTCCAAAACCTTTAGTGTTGAAGTTCTTTTTCCTAGTGAACTTGAAATCTAGAGGGAATCCTATTAATCGATAGCATGTATCCTTGCTTTGACCTTATTTCCCGTCGTATGAATAAGCAAGTTCTAATTATCTTCTATTATTGTGAAATAAATCCATAGCAAGAGTAGAGGATTCACTAAGACGAGACTCGTTGTCGCACCTCTATTTATCTATGGGATTCCTCCCTCATAGCCAAGTTATATATATATACCTCATCCAAACCAAGGAATGGCTTCATCACCAACACTTGAGATCTTAGATGAGAGAAAGATTCGTTCAATACATTAAGAAATTTGAACATATAATCCTTCTCATATAGCTTCACAAATTTATCAAAACATTCCGCATTGCACTCTCCATAACCATAACGAGGCAATGGCTTGAAATTCCTTAATTCCTCCCATATTCCATTTAACTTTGTGAAATCTGTATTAATTGACCTAGATCCTTGTGTTATTGAACACCGAGACCATTATAAATTGTAGATTCTTGATTTATCTAGTTGAGGAAACGTTTCTTCAAAACCTCTCGAATCTTCACAATAGAATTCATGTAGAAGATTATTACAGCTACCGAAGGTGACATTGATCATGGTAGCTAGGCTACTATCAAACTATTGCAATGATTCCAAGAATTAATAAGCATATCATTAACTTCAAGCCTAAAAAAGGATCCATCCATGACCCTAACTTTTTGCGAATAGAGAGCTAGAGTAAATGACCCGCTCCAAGTAGCATAATTCTATATGGTAAGTTCTGGACTAATCACAAGAGAACCGTGATGATCCGAATGATGAATGAAGTATGGAGAAGAAGCTTCATTAGATAATGATTCTACTACCATGGCAAACTAGATGGAATCTCCAGAGAAGATGATCGATTCCAAACCGACAAGAAGATGAAAGATGAAATCGAAGTTAGAGAATGAGATAAGATGATCAAACCCTAGGGTCGATTGGCTTTGATACCATGTTGAAATTTAGGTAGAAGCGTAAGAAGGATGCAGAGAAGCAAAAGCGAGAGACCGAGAGAGGGAAATGAAGGAGGGAAACTGATGAAAATCCTTTAAATTTTCATTAGTAAAAATATCTTGTTACATTGACATTTATACCCACACTAACTACATACAAAACAACCTAACCTAATCGTAATAGACACTTAACAAACTCAACAAAACTATCGGAGGATTAACAACCTTTCCCGTCGACTTTAACAAACCATGAATATAAGATTAGCCTTACATACTAATACTCATCATATAGTTATAAACTTCCAATGATAATATTCTCCCTTTCCAATCGATAAATGGTCCACCTACTAACCTCTCTCCAATAGTATTAAGTGCTCTCGTTATCTCTCTATGATAGCTAGAGAAATTATATCTTATCCTTATGTCATTATAGATTAAAAGGTAGTCCATTCCGTATTCTATAAATGCACTATCATCTCCCTAAGACTATCATGCCATGAGGATTTGTCAAAATGTAAAACTAATTTTAGTCAAGATTGGGTATGTCTTTCAAATAGTCCCACCTAACTCTCCAATTGAGGTGGGATGATAAGTATAGATGGACGAAACATGGCCAAATAGACTAATATAGAATAAATTGATTAGGACTATATCCTTTTTTCCATATTTGGTCCTCATTAATCTCATAGAAAAACATCCCCCCATGCATCCTATACTCCAAAATTAGAGATAGATAGAGGTAGAGAAAGAGTATGGTGAATGGTCTATCATATAATAATCAAATATTACTAATATTATCCAAATTTATTAATTAAGAGATGAATAATTCTTGTGTTTGATACCAAAGATTTATTGGTCCATCTCTTATTCTTTTTAAGTAAATAAATTGGATAGATTTAATAGTCCCATATAAAGAAATAGGTTATGCACAAGAATTAGAATTCCCTAGCGTGGATAAATACGGGTAATATCAATTAGTGATTCAAAGATGAGTCCTTTCAAATATAGGCAATGATACTATTGCGAAAATTCATGATGATAGTGACCATGGATAAGAATCTATGGTTGAATGATCAAGGGGTCCATATTTGGAGGCGTAATCCAGTTATTATTTTGAGAGGTCGGGCATTAATGTTTCATCCATATGATGGTTAAAATGATTCCATATATATCAAGTGGGTAAATAAAGTTGCTATTCTATCTCCCTCTCCCTCCCTCCTTCCTTACTCATGAATAAGATACCTTTATGTACAACCTATTCAATAATAATCGAGAGAGGGATAAGGCATTTTGATTAAAATATGTTTATAAAAAATATAAAGCATTTATATATGTTACTAAGGAATTAACGGTATTCATAAATCTTGGCATTAAGGAATAAACTATGACTAGTAAGGTAAAGAAAGGTCGTATCGGAGAACATATTAATCATTGTATAAAAGAATGGATTCATACTTGGACTATTTATACCATTGCAACCAATAAGACACCTCTCTTATGTGTACTTCTATTGAATAAGAGATAAGTTTAGTTATATAAGAAGAATAATAGGACTCTATCGGGCTACTAATGATCATTTATTAATATATTTAATCAAGTTGGCAAGTCTAGTTTTTTCTCCCCGCCTCTCATCGCCGTAACTAGTATCCATACCCTTTCCACTTATTTCATAAGCTACAATAGCTCCAAAAACTCCCACTCAAGTAACTCTCCCCATCTCTCCCTTTTTCCTTGCCTCTCTCGCCCTCCCTATCTCCCCCAATATATTATTAATATAAAGAATTGGCATGTGAACGAGTAGGAGATTAGGGTGCTACTAGCTAGGAAATTGAACAAATTTTAGTATAATTTCAATAGTTCATGTAAGCCCTCACCTATTACTAAGAAAGACGGAGTAGTGTAATTTATATAACTAGAATGATCATTAAGAGGAGGCCTCTCTCATGCTTCTCCATGTAGGGGAATAAGTCTTGGTTACACTATTCCCTCTTTCTCTCATCAAAGGAATTGGGTGATAGGATTGAAAATATTTTGATCATTTCAATATATTGATATAGGGAGAGAGGGAGGAAGAGAGTAACAAGATCACTTCATCATTATACTTGGTGTACTCCTATTGTATCTTTTGTCCTTATGGTAAGACAGAGAGAGACTGGGAGGGAAGGGAATACCTAGGGTATTTAAATTCTACTTTTAATAATAAATGGCCCTCAAAATCACTCCAAATTTTATATTAAACTACTATTTTGTCTACAACTCCTTATTCAATTATCGTTTATACTCGTCTATATTGCATTAGTTGATAACTAATCATATAATGATCCCACCCTCTATTCTTTAGCATTTCTATGGGTGAATGCTTAATTGGCTCTTATTACTCTCATGAATGAGCTTGGCATACTATATGAGCCAATAGAAAAAAAAGCTAATCAATTTTAATACCTATTTATGTTGTTGGAGGAGAGCTCGGCGTGGTTTTAAACCTAGGTTTAAATTTATAGAGGCCCCCTTTTCTCCTCCTATAGTTGTCTAAGGTATTATTCCCTCAAAATTTTGAATTAACCTTTCCTATTATATGTGTGTAGAAATAGTAAATGTCCCGATTAGGTCAAAAACCAATTTATAAAAGAACATATCCTAGAGAAGCACTCATACTAAAAGGGTTGGATTATGAGTGCTTATATTAAACCTATTAGAAGATACTAAATTTGTATATAGTATTTTCCCATTTGGTTGTATAAAGAATATTAATCGGATGATATAAAACCTCTTAAGAATTAATGATTATCCCCAATGATTAACTTGCAAATCCCTAATAAGAGGTTTCTCCCTTTCATCTATACCCATTAACAATCTAGGGTAACTTACTCCCTCTCGGACTTATTTTGTGATGAACCACTCGAAGCATGGTAATCACTCTTCTAATACAAGGTTTGATCATAGGGTTTAATAACCTTTCCATACAATAGGGATAATCATTAATGTATAACTCTATCCTTCTTGTTCTTACATGAATACCAATCTTTGCTTATAAGTTTATTGAACCTTGAGTTATCATCCCTAGGAATTAGGAATTTATGGTATCATGTACATATTTGATTACCACGGGAAAGAGAGAGATAGTCATACATCCATAACTTCAATGCTAGTGAACTCGGATTAAATATTTATTCTCTTCGCCACTTAACTTCAATATTCTCATCCGCCCTACATTTATTCATGCTTAGGATAAGTTAATTATTTAATCAAAGATTAGCAACCAAACCAAAAATTGATACTAAAGTTCAGTCAAGGCCTCTCCCATATTGTTATCTCCTTCTATCTAATTGCTAATAGAGGCCCCCTCTATATATCAACATCACCTCGCCCTCCCTCTCTCTCTCTCTCCCCCTACCTCTCCCGCTCCCTCTCCCTCTTTATAGAGTTCCGCCATGTTCGAGGAGGGATGGCTATCATGTGACATTTTAGGTAGATTTATTCATAGGCCTCTATATTTAAAGATGGTTGGCCCCTATAGGATGATAGGGTACAACCAATATCTAATTTGCTCTCTAACAACCTAAAATAGTTAATATTATGATTAATATATAAATATCCTATAGTTATTATTAATACCAAATATAGAGGTCATTTGGTATGATACCTTCGTTATATTAGTACGTCTATATTAATATAATTAGTAAGGTAATTATATTACGCATAAGCTAGGAACTCTTTGGAAGAATCTTTGAGTGTAACTTCCAAGAATGGGCTAATCTTTGTCATAGGTGTGATGGGAATATCTTGTAACTAGATTGTTCCAAAAAATATATATATATATATATAGTCACAATAGAGGAGATGGATATCTAAAGATGTTGAATAAAAAGCCTACGAGAAAATTCCTCAATAAGATTTTACCTCAACTTCTCCACACTCATTTACCCATTGCAATGTATATGGTCTAGGAAGAGGTCATAGTGTACTTAATAAATCATCCACTTGGAACCCTTTACTAGATCCATGAAAATGAGTGTTAATGTATATAAATCATCCAATTGAAAAGTCATGAGGAGCATACGAAACAAGCATCCTATTCCTTCTCTATCATCAACAAAGGAATTTGTAGGTTTCTTGGACGTAGCTCTATCTATCTATCCGAAAGTTATTCAAGAAGGAGAGTTACATGAGGAGGCTTGTTCCATAAAAGAATAGGATACGATCTATCCTTAGCACACCCAAAGCCATATAATAAGGGTATCCATCTCCTTCTCGAATAAGGAAAATATTTTACTTTATAATAATTCAGAGAGGTGAACATAACATAGCATACATGATAGATTCAATGGTTGATCCATAAAGAGAGGATGAGAGGAGGAGGGAGATTACTACCTATCCCTATCTTTTACATGTACATTATTCTTTAACTCATGTATAGTTAGAGGGATCATGAGAGAACTCCATAATTCTATAGGAAACTATGTTCCTCATGACTCTTAGGTACAATCACTTGGAGAGGTCTTCCAATCAAACTACTATTTAAAAGTTATCCTCCCTCTATCCCTTACTTGAATATATAAATAGGGCCTAAGCTTCCTCTCCCTCTCCCCGTCTATCTCTCTCCCTTTTTGTTTATTCCCTCTCTTCCTATTTTGGCCATGCTCATACCGTTTCATAAATTTCAAAGCCCATCGGTTTGCATCATCCCGAAAAACTATAAAAGCTGATTTCACCATTAGATTCCTCTCTCCCTCTTAATTCTATAAGAGTATGAGGTAGAGAGGGACCAAATATATTGGACCCCTCTCCACACTCCCTCTCTTTCCCTCTTTCTCTTGCTAACAAAAGAATTAACATTTCTATGAAAGCCTTTATTGTTTGGAGGGATAAACTTATAAATAATAGTTCACATGAAATTATCCTATATAGAGGAAATAAATGGAGATAGAGGAAGCAAGAATGTCTTGGTTAATAGATCACATCAGCTTATTACATAGTAATCTTTGATCTATTAATATTGAAAAATTAGGAAAGTGAGTTGGGGAGAGAATAAGAGTTCGAGCTAATATTCTCACCTCCATTAGCCAATTATCTAGGAGAGTATGTCATATACTATCCCATATGTTGGCTATAAGTAATCTATTAACCAAAACATTCTTACTTCCTCTCTCTCTTGCTCTCTCTTTACCATACCCTCTCAACTCTCCCTCTCCCCTCCCTCCCTCTCTATCTCTTTCCCTCTCTCTCCCTCCCTCTTCCTCTCTCCATCTATATCCCTCTCCATCTCTCTCCCTCTATATTCCTCTTCATCTCTCTCCCTCTATCCTTCCCTCTCTTGCTCTCTCTATTTCGTATTTAGGACTATTAGGGCGATTCACTCTCTCCCATCTCCCTCATATAGAGAGAGGGAGAAAGCATCTAATGATAGAGTTTCATAAAAGGAAAATTGCACTCCCTTGCCACATCAAAAAGAGAATTCATGTCAATAAGAACTAAGGGCGTTGATATCCCTCTCATTTACCTTACTCACTTCGCTCTCGTTTTTCCTCTCCCTCTCCCTCTCTCACCCTCCTCTCTCCCTCTCTCTCCCTCTTCCTCTCTCCCTTTAACATATAAACTAATTATTTTGTCCAAGCACTACCTATGATAGAATTTAGAATAAACCTTTCCTTTATATATTATGTTGCTCGAATAGATTTCTATAGAAAACATTACACAAATCGGAAAAGGTGGGGCTAGTACTCTACCAATTTTATAGGTTAGAGGATTAATTATCTATATAATCCTATCATGTAAAAGCTCGTTGAGTGAGTGGGAGAGGGATAAAATAGAAGTTAAATTCTATTTAGTAACTTATAAGAGCATAAGGGAGTATTAGTTGTTTTGAATGACATAAGGGTTATTTAAAAATTCATCGATACTAATATTATTAAACATTATTATTCTTATTCTTGGTAATCACATGGTGGGAGATATTTTTATTCTATTAAATATTTATTGATAAATATGGTGAAAGGAAGAGGGAGAATTATTTAGGAGTTATATCTTAAACCAAAATAATAAAAGAGAGAATAGGCATGAGAGAGAGTACAAATAGTTAAGTGAGGATGATGGAGCCTATTTGAGATCGCTTTTATGATGAAGACAAGTATGCTTAATATAGAATTCTTCCTCACTTTCTCACTCTCTCCTACTCTCTCTCCCTCTCTCTCCCTTCTACACTTATTTACTAATTATAATAATACTCCTTCCTCTAATATGCTCTAGTCCCTTATATTGATTGGTCCAGGATTAATATTAGAGATGTTCTTTCATTGTTACCCCTTAATGTCTCGTCACTAGTTGTTCATGCCTAAGAGAATACAAATTTCACCATTGAATTTGATTCTATTAGCATTGAATCTAATTTCAAATCCCTACACAAAGTTAAACCATCTCATAGTGAAAACACCTTAGGCTTAGAATTGGTACCATCTCCATAATAGTATGTGAAACCTACTACAAAAGAGCCTAAAGAATCACGGATTACTCTTCTACCGACTCAAAAACCAGCTTTAGTCGACCTCCTTCTCTCTCACTCTCACTCCCTCTCCTTCTCCTCACTCTCTCTATCTCTTTCCCTCTCCCTCCCTTCTTCCCTTTTCCTCTCTATCCCTCTATCTCCCTCCCTCTCTATCCCCTAGTATGAGTTAGACTATCTCTTTCTCCCTCACTCGCCCTCCTCTCTCCATCTATCTCTCCCTAAGAGTAAATCATTGTCATATACTCCTATTAATATTGTCCAAATTATCCTTAATAAAAATGTCTACCCTTTATCAACACCTTAGCTAACTACATCACAAATTTGTTTTATTTGGGTGATAATAAAATGAAATGTCATGATCCTTTAGCACTTCAAGCCATATAGAAAGAGGTAGATAGAGAGAGAGGAAATGCTAGTGATATACATTAGTAGAGAGAGGCGGATAAATAATCAAGAATAGGATGGGAGAGAGAGAGAATATTGTTTAACTCTTCATATAATTTTCCCTATTATATTGAGGGCCCCTATAAGATAATGTTACAAAATAAATCTACCTAATATCATGGAACGGTAATGATACATAGAATACTTGGAGAGAATGCTAGACAAAACTTATCCACTTTATAGAAGGCAATTTAGTACTAACCCAAAATAGTAGGGATTGAATAACATGAGATGGTAAGCTTCCCTAAAACTAGTTACCATGCATAAAGATTGGCATGATAGGTCATATCGAGACTTGTTTAATTATTGGCGCTTCTATTGGAATAAGCCTCCTATCTCCTAATCATTCTAAACCATGAATAGCTCATGTTTATATGTTGAATCACATATTGCTTGAAAATGTTTAATGTAAAATAGCCTTGGTAAACTAATTTGACTTCATTATAATCTAATACTATTAAATCTCTCCCTATTATTGGATTAAACATATTGGTCAATATAAATTTTTTCCCCTTCTCTAGGTCCTAATAATATAATTATTATAGTTGGATAAATATAATTCTTGAGGAGATGAATACATTATAACAATGGTATTATAAATATATACGAAGTATTATAGTCCATACCCTTAAATAGTACTCGTTTCAAACTATTATTCTCATATTTATCTCCATTCTATCTCCCTCTCCCTCTCTCCATACTAAAGGGTTTCTATGTCCTAATTCGTCGATAGTTAATTAAACCCCAAATATGTTGTAGGATATCTTCATCGGCCTTTTTTATCTATTTTTGGATCAAATGATATCTTCGACGGCCTTTTCTATTTATTTTTTCTTTATCTTTTAGGAAACTTCCCATTTAAGAAAACTTACCAATTTGAAAAATCCTTTCCAAAACAAAAAGCTTTTAAAATTAGGAGAGAGGGAATGGAATATTATTAAATGGGAAGTTTCCTAACATGGAAAGTTTTCTTAATTAGGAAGCAAGAATAACTTCCCTCTCTATCATACGTGAGAGATAGATTTAACAATCTAGGTAACCTCACTCTCTATCCCCTTGAATCATAATATTTTCTATCTTATCTGTGGAGATACTAATTCGATTGTCATAATATTTGTTTTTCTAATTAAATTCTTAATAATTAGTTTGAGCATGGATACCATAAGGATAACCATATGTCTTAGCCCTATATTATTATTAGTAAATGAACCGGCTATATGCTCTATAAAAGTGATGGTTATAAAGTCAAGGGGTAAAATGGTGAGAAAGGAGTGATATGTTAACCCACGTAAAAGAGGGAGAGGAATTAGAATAACTACACCCATCATTCTATCATCTAGGTATCAAACTATGTTCTCTAGTCATTAGGGAGAGAAAAATTATTACTCCCCTCTCCCTCTATCCCATATGGAATTATACACATATAAATAATCCCAATAGTAACTCCCACATTAAGTTACTCAACCATGAAGCAACGTCAGCCTCTCTCCCTTTCTCTCCATAACTATAATATTTTATTACCTATAATATCATCACTATTATAGTGCCATAATCAAACATTCGTGGAATGAGTATTTGAGCTAGTGCTGATATTTTTACCATGACCCTAATGTATTGGCATAATTAGCTTAGAGGGAAATATTTCCTTTAAAGACAATTATATTTTCTTCATGGTAATTATTTGCATTGAATTTTCCCGACTATTAGAGGGAGCCTATTAGTTTTGGTTAATCTATTGCTAGCCGATACTTCGCAATAAAAAACTAAGGTTTTAACCGCATGAACACTTTACATGGGATACCAAAATATTTAAGGCAATATTTTATATAAAAAAATATTTCTCAAAACACTAATGATAGTTATTTGATTATAATATTAAAATATATAATTTCTAATCATATTGATTTAAATAAATTAATATAGGTTAATAGTTGTGATAAATTTCCCTACATTGGACCCAATATTTCCATTATTTTATCACAACTATTAACCACTCTATGGTAACAAATATATGAAACCCATATGGAGGGAGAGAGTGAATATTGTTCAGTGAAAGTATAGTGGTAGTTAAACAAGGCTTTCTCTCCATACATATAAGATAAAGAGGCTCGTTTGTAAATTAAAAGATATTCCCCTCTCTCGATTAACCATACTAGGGAATGAACATGTTAGAAGTGAAATCTATAAATAAGAGGAGAGGTGTGGCATGTGGACTTCAAAAAGAGAGGGAGAGAGAGTTAATTAACTTCTCCCTATTAATACTTAAATTTTAATGGTTAATAGTCTAATCACTTCAAATTCAATCTGTTTTCTTGAGGGTAATCCCGATAAAGTTTTGGAAAACCATTGCCTCGCATTTATCTTCCTTGAGTTTGGTTAGTCGGTGCTATATTATTCACACAAATAATAATTATTTAAAGGATTAGACCTAATTAGTAATAGAGATTCTAGTACGAGTCCCATAGTAATTAACACCCTAGAATGAAACAACGCCTTTTCTTATGATAAATAAGAAAGGGAGGATGATCTATTACGGGAATGATAGAGTGGAAGAGAGAGAGAAAGAGAGGGAGGGAGAGTGCTTTATTATTTTCTCTTTAGGGAAAGAGTTATCTTCTTTTCTCTACTAAAAACTTAGGGGGAGATTTTGGTGAGAATAACGTAGACCATGGGGTATCTAGGAAAGGGATAGCTAAATTATAATATTAAATAATTACTATTATCCTTACGAATTATCATGACATCCTAATAAATATATATATATATATATGAATAGTTATATTGGTAGAAAATATCATCCCCTTAGTTTGATACTACATATAGGGTCTCTTATTTGCAAGTGAAGAGGTGATGGCCCGAATGGGAGTCGTAACCTATAATAATCTTAGTGGGAGCATCTCTTCCTCTCTTGACCACTCGAAGTAAAATAGAAGAGATAAATTAGGTTCCATCGATGTTTATGCTACGACTTGGGATATTTAATAATATTATTTATAGGCATTAATGTTTAGAGAGAGTGAGAGAGGAAGGGAGAGAGGAAGAGAAATACCTATTGTAATGTACATAACATACAAATTAGTAATCAAAATTGGCCTAAAGAATAAATCCTCAAATATCATGGAATCTATTTCCAATATGTAGCTATTAGCATTAGTGCCCAAGATCCAACCATGTTTGGATGGGCTCGATTAGTGTATTATTGCATTATTTATTTTAATAATAATAAAGAAGTTATTCTATTAATTTTTATGTTTACATGTTGATAAATTTAGTAGAATTAGATAGAAATCCTTATGATATGTATTTGTAATAAGATTGATCAAAAGATGTGAGACAAACATCAATGCATATAAATGATATCATTAAATGTCCTAAGTCGTAGCATTGTCAAGAGTGGACATTGATAACATACGAGATAGTCTTGTGAGTGCTATGCTAATGCTATATGATAGTAGTAGGAAATTTCACACCTATTGGCATGGTGATGCCAAAGCAAGCATTTAGGTGACTTATGTTAAAGAACATATCACTAGACTTGACTCACCATAAGAACTCATTTGGTTTTTTCTATGGGAATCTTATACGAGATAGGTACAAATGGTCCTTAGAGTTGAAGTTGTCATGGTTATCTCATTGGAGGACTTATGCACTTTGACACTCGTTTCAATGGACCCATTAATAGGTTGCGCATGAGCAATTCATTGGGTGAACTAGAAATCCAATGGAGGTAGATGTATGACTAAGATAGGACATGTCATTCCTTGTATGCTCAAGGAGTTATCATATTGTACTTCGATAAATGTCTACTTAAAAATTTATGGCCACGGTAGAGCATAATTAGTTTACTCTAAGAGCTAAGATATTTAGGAACCAAAAAAACCTTATATGATCATAATCGAACAAGACTAATAACCAAGTTCAAGATAACACCGTGATAAGTTGACATGAGGACTGAATTGTATGATACTCGTGCTTGTGAAATCTAATAATGAATTAACTAATTCTCCTAGAGAATTGGATAGTCATGATGCCTTGCTAGAGGCCAATCTTGATTTATGTATCAATAGATGAAAGAGGAGTCTTTTATTCTTGATACATTGCCAACATATCTAGGAGCCTATTTAGTCACACACATAAGTTTAAGTATTCACATTATAAATAAGAAGCAAAGATATTGGAAATTGTTTCTAATTATAGAAAGTTTCCTAAAATGGAAAGTTTTCTTAATTATGAAAGTTTCCTAAAATGAAAAGTTTTCTGTTTTAGAAATCGGTTTCCTAATTTAAAAATTACTTTCAAATTTTGAAATAAAGAACCCAAAAGGAAAAGGGTTTCCTAATTTAGGTTAAAGGGTATTTTAGAAAGTTGTTTCCTATTGTAGACCCCGCCAAAATAATCTAAGAATATTTATTTGGATAGTCCAAATAAATAAATTAGGCTAAAATAGTTTTGCCTATTAGATTTAATTAAAAACCTTAAGATATTTTGGTTGGAGGATAAACATCAACCTTATTGGATAAGGTTGGATTTTCTAAAGATAAACATTAACCTTGTTGGATAAAATTGAATGTTTTAAAGATAGTAATCAAATAGTCACATATAAAAATAACTCATCATCCTTAGGGGATAAGGAAGTAACAACGTAGAGTCTAAAAAAGGACTTGTGGTTGACCCTTTCTTTGTCCTTGGAGGATAAGGAAACTCTCCCCCTATATATAAGAGGAGAGGTGTAGCATGGAGAGGTTAATCAACCCAAAAAGACTATTCGGCCAAAGAAAAAAAAAGAGAGCAAAGTTTCAGCCGACTCTAAAATTAAACAAGGCACACGATCAAAAGAAAAAAATAAAGAGAAAAAATAGGGAGAAAATAGTTTTCTCCTAAACCTTAGCAAGAAATACTCTTTCCTTCTCCTTTTAGGTTATCGCAAAATTGCCCAAGATTGATTTCTAGAGGAAATATTAAATAAAAAAAAGGTGGAGCTTGCACCCCACTCGATTTCTATGAGGGATATTGTATGGTAATCATGCTTTCATCTATATCAAGATAGTTAATTTAATTGACTTGATCATTAAACTATAAGAGAGGTTAAGTCTCTAATTGCTAATAATATTTTTTTCATGGTTCATAATAATATTGATAATATCATATTTAATCTAATAATATATAGGGAGAGGGATCGATAGCGGAATAATAAATGGAGCATGTTCCATTTATTATGATTATTAACGAGTAACCCTATCTCTCCATCTCTCTCCAAAGGATGAATCAATTACCTATTATATCTCAAGTATAATAGTTACTCTATTATAGGTAAACATATATATTGGACAATATTTATGCTATTATCAAACATATAAGTATACACATTCCCCGTCGTGACAAAAAAAAAAAAAAAACACGATTAATCATTTATTTTCAACTATTAACAAAGGAAGAGTATACCATTAGAATACAATGGGTAAATATTGTTATGAATTGCCAATATCCTAGCTCCTAAAATACAAATAGATAATTATATCTCTCCTTAAAATATTATAAAATATTTTACCATTAAGATACCTTTAAAAGCATATGTATGAAAGGAGCTAATTATAAGGTTAATTAGCTACCATGGAACGGTAGTCCGAATATAATGCATTTGATATTAATCCCTCCATAATTTCCACCTATTAGAATGCCCTTAAATTTAATTAGTCCCTCTTTCATATTTGAAGGTGATAACTCTTATACCACTCTCCTTCATATAATTGGCCTAATTCCACTTGTTGATATTAAGGCTCCTACTAAGCGAGGAAAGACCGAGTATATTGGCTTCAATCAAATTATAATAGCATTTCTATTAATCCCCTGCTCTAGGAGTTTTGGCCCTCCTATAATAGTGAAATCTAGAGAGAGGATTGCATTAATTATTCCTACTTATTATAAACTTTTTGTGAATAGGACCCTACCAAGAAAACCGTGCTCATGTTTCTAACAAGATATTAACAAATAATCCCCACTAGCCGTCAATCCTTGGCAGTTTTAAGTCGGCTACTACTAAGTTTAAAAACATGAG